CCAAATATGGGCTGTCCGATGACGCCAGTGTGCCGCTGGGCAGGGACTGGAAAAACGAACCTCGCTGGAGGCTATGATTGTATTGACCCGCTATTAGTACACTCGCCCATTGATCTCGAGTAAAGTTTGCACTTTAAACACGAAAATTTAAGTTCCAAACCTTATAATTACTCCCACGCTTGTGTATACACAGAACTTTGGGCACGGACATCCCTTTCCTTGCTGACTGCTTCGACGTCGCCTTGAAAAATCCATTGGCACATCCAGGTATGTCACAACTATTTAGGCTGGTCTCTATGGCTCATTTTGTCTATTAGGAGAGGAGGCTAATCGGGAGGTACCGTTAGAACAAAGCTTTAAACCCAAACCTTGTAAGTTTTACTTCTGGACAAGTACAGGCTAAATGTTGAAGTATTTACAAGTACTCACCAACCAATAAATCATAAAAATGGGCGCAACTCGCTCTGATAAAGAGGCTTACTTTGAGAAGCTCAAAGAGCTTCTTGCTAAATATCGTATGCCTCGTTCTAAATCACTTTATCACAGCTACTTATACTTCCTACTCAAACCTAGCCTCAATCTTCCTCGTTAACGTCGACAATGTCGGTTCTAACCAGATGCATCAAATCCGTGTCGCTCTTCGTGGCAAGGGGATCATTTTGATGGGCAAGAACACGATGGTCCGCCGGGCTCTTCGCACAATCCTCGCCGATAACCCCCAATACGAACGTCTCCTTCCATACGTCAAAGGAAACATTGGCTTCGTCTTCACTGACAAGGACCTCAAGGAAGTTCGTGAGATCATCGTCGCCAACAAGGTCGCTGCTCCTGCTCGTGCTGGCGCTTTGGCTCCGAAGGATGTTACTGTCCCTGCTGGTAACACGGGAATGGAGCCCGGAAAAACCTCTTTCTTCCAGGCTCTCGGCGTCCCTACCAAGATTGCTCGTGGCACCATTGAAATTGTGTCCGACATCAAGGTCGTCACTGCTGGTACCCGTGTCGGATCCTCCGAAGCGACGCTCCTCAACATGCTCAACATCTCGCCGTTCACGTACGGCATGACTGTTGTGCAGATCTTCGATCAAGGAAACATCTTCTCTCCCGACGTTCTGGACATCGATGAACAAGAGCTCGTGAACCGGTTCTTGTCGGGTATTCAGACCATTGCTGCCATCTCTCTGGCTTTGAACTATCCCACCATCGTTTCAGTTGTTCACTCTCTCGTCAACGCCTACAAGAATTTGCTTGCTGTTTCAATCTCGACCGAGTACACATTCGAAGGTGCCGAGAAGGTTCGTGAATGTTATTTTGGTTGGCGTGATTATTCAATTTTTAAACACACACTGAAAATTCTGAGCGTCTCACGGACGCATGGCGGAATCATATCAAATGATCTTCTCTTTCTTTCGCGTGCATTCTATGAAAATTTTCACACTTGTCCTCATGATCTTTCCTTCTTCCATAGGTCAAGGAATATCTCGCCAACCCCGAGGCCTTTGCGGCTGCTGCGCCGGTGGCCACCGAAGCTGCCCCTGCCGCCGCCAAAGCAGAGGAGAAGGAAGAAGAAAAGGAGGAATCCGACGACGATATGGTATGTGGTCCGTTGACTCAGACTAGTAGATTTTGTGATTCAAGGAACGTTTGTCAAACAGGGCTTCGGATTGTTCGACTAAATGCACCGGGTTACTTACGAATCTGGATTCTATACATCATCTGTTGTACTACTCCTAAAAAATACCATGTCGGTTATCCATCTACTCAACGATTCCCATGAGATTAGCCCAGTTTGTAACTCTTACGGGGTAACGTCGGCAACGGGCGAAACAGGAAAATAATGGCGTCACAGGAGAAAACCGCAAGCGGTGACTTTTTCTATGACGGCGTATCTGATGAGTCGGCTTTTAGAGGAGTTCTTCAAAAGTGGAAAAGTGATGAGACTTTGAAATTTTGTCTTGACCACTGATCTTCCAGTTATAAACAAGTGTCGCGACTTTTGACTTCCTCTGGAATCCGAGGAGCAGCGACTTCAACTGAACGGGACCATCAAACGTTTCCCGGTGGTCACCACGTCGCATCCGATTATCTTTCCCAATCAGGTCTTGACCATCTGCTTTCCAACAAATTCTCTTGAACAGTCTTCGTCGCGCCATATATAATTTCATTCCTGAACCATGCCACCAACTACCGCAGATACTCCCCAGGATCAACCCCAGATGGATTTTGGAAAAGGCGGCCATCTCATCGTTGTCTCTAATCGACTCCCTATAACCATAACCAAAGATGCCCAAGGGGAGTATCACTTCAAGATGTCCTCGGGTGGCCTCGTGTCAGCTCTCTCCGGCTTCAAGAAGTCTCTTAACTTTACCTGGATTGGCTGGCCAGGTTTCTTCATCCCACCAAAAGATCGGGAAATTGTCGATAAGCGGCTGATGGACGAGTACTCGTGTCAAGCCGTTTATCTCGACGATGACGTCGCTGACCGCCATTACAACGGTTTCTCCAACTCAATCCTATGGCCATTGTTCCATTATCATCCCGGAGAGATGAACTTTGACGAGGAGAATTGGCTTGCTTATCGTCAAGCCAACATGCAATTTGCAGAGGCCGTGCGCCAGCAGCTTACGCCTGGCGCCATGGTTTGGGTTCAAGACTACCATCTCATGCTTCTTCCTATGCTTCTTCGCGGAATAATTGATGATCCCTCAAAAACGGGCGACTTCACAAGAGTCGAACTCGAGAAGATTACGGAAGGGATCGATACTACCGCACTTACAACACCTCACGACCCCACGCCTGGCGTGAAGATTGGGTACTTCCTTCACACACCATTCCCCAGTAGTGAGATCTACAGGTGAGTCATTCCGTCAATTGGAATTTACTTGTTTGACATAGGTATAGGATTCTGCCTGTGCGGAGAGAAATTTTGCTTGGGGTTTTATATTGCGACTTGATTGGGTTCCACACCTACGACTATGCTCGCCACTTCCTCTCTTCATGTACTCGTATCCTCGGCTTCCCAACCATGCCCAATGGTGTCGAGTTTGAGGGCAGGCTTGCACACGTCGGCACATTCCCCATTGGTATTGAACCCAGCACATTTACAGAGGTCCGTCATATGTTCCCTTTGATTCGACCCTTGATCTAATTGACTGTTTAGAACTTGAAGAAGCAACCTGTGATTGACCGCATTGGACAGCTAGAGCAGCGTTTCCGAGGTGTGAAAGTCATCGTTGGCGTTGATCGACTGGACTACATCAAGGGTGTTCCACAAAAGCTACATGCGCTCGAGCTTTTCCTAACGCAGCATCCTGAATGGATTGGAAAGGTATACCTCCTTGTTTCGAGTGAAAATTTGCGAGCTGACTGGTTGTTTCAGGTCGTCCTCGTTCAGCTCGCTGTTCCTTCACGGCAAGACGTCGAAGAATACCAGAATCTCCGATCCACCGTCAATGAGCTTGTTGGGCGAATCAATGGTCGATTCGGAACCGTGGAGTTCATGCCCATCCACTTTATGCATAAGAGTTTGAACTTTGATGAACTCTGTGCCCTCTACGCCGTCAGTGATGTCTGCTTGGTGTCGAGTACGCGAGACGGGATGAACTTGGTAAGTCCTATTGCCAATTCGTTTACACACCCTCATTTAATGTATTTTATTAGGTTTCATACGAATACATTGCTTGCCAACAAGCCCGCCAAGGCGTGATGATCCTTTCCGAATTCGCTGGTGCTGCCCAAAGTTTGAACGGTTCCATCGTTGTCAACCCTTGGGATTCACAACAGGTTGCGGACGCTATCCACGAGGCTGTTACGATGGACAGCGAGGTTCGTGCAGAGAACAATCGCAAGCTCTTCAAATATGTCAATAAGTACAGTTCGGCGTACTGGGGCAGCAGCTTCATCAAGGAGATGGGTAAAATTGATGCCGCAGACACGAGCAAGGGTGGTCAAGCCGAAGAGGTCGTGAAAGAGTACAACGATGAAGCCGGACAGGGTAATGTCATTGTAAACGGTTCGGTTCCACTCTCAACGAATGTTTGACGGTGATGGTCCGGGATTCACTACATGCGTTGAGGTGGCGGTAGAGATTTCTTGAACTTGTTTATTTCATTTCGCAGCCTGCTTTACTAGATGGGTATCTGCCTCGCATCGTGCTTGTTGTATATGTTGTCTTTTTATGTCTTAACTCATTCACGCATTGAAACTATTATGTTCGCATCTTTTCGGGACCGTCGTCCTTAAGAGCCCGACTTGTGGGCTCGTGGAAGAGAGAATATCCAAAGGTTTCGTCTTTGCCGATTTGGTTCTAGTTTTCTTAAGAGCGCGATCTCGAGCTCCGTGCTGATTCCCTTTTCCGGAAATGACTATCCAAATCAAGTAGACTCCAGCGATCAGCATCAAATCGCGAGTGCCAGAAAGCTAGTCTACGTTTTAAATAACTTTCTAAATCGATGAGGAGAGTTCAACGCACTAGTGACAGTGGAACAACGAAACAAAAAAGGCCTAACTTGTCCCAGGTTTAGTGTACAGCCTTCGGGATTCCGATTCTCCTTGGGTGCCTAGGAATCAAACCATGTTTTGGTGACCTGAAGAACCACGAGGCGTGCTGTTACTGATATTGTAAGTTAACGTAGAAAGACGTTAGCTCGGTCGGCGTGTATGATGCTAGGTGTGTAGGCACTTCCTCAATTTGATTCCAGAATCCAATCGTGAGAGTTAACTTGCACGCAGTGTTGGTCAACAATCGAAGAAGCAATCCGAGTTTCTCTTCCATCTCAAATTTGCACATATCGTCATCTTAAAGATAGGTCGAAACAGGCTTGAAGCGCGAGATATATGCAGCCGTTGTATCTGAATGTGCATTGCAGATTTTCGATAACCATTGATGTGGCGCGCAAAATCAAATCAGAAGTCAGAGCATCTCTTTTCAAGTTGTCTAGTCCAGTATGTGTAATTGATAGCGCAAAAGTCTTAGATATTTTAATAAGCGATCAGCTGATGTCGGTGGATTGGCGTAGTGGCAACGCGTCAGTTTCCGGTTTTAAGTCCCTAGCTGAAGTACGTGGGTTCGATCCCCACATCCATCGCTTTTTCGTAGCCTCTACCACATGTTGACCCGGAAAAGACAAAGCTATGGCGGCTTTGCTATATTTGGAAAGATTAGAAAACTCTCAGGCCTAGAGCGGGCTTCAAATTTTAAATATCATCGCTCTCCACAACACACATATTAATGGCTGTTTTTCTGCTAACTAAATACATTTATTCCGCTCATTTTACCGTTATTTTACGGGGCCTCTGAAGTAAGATCTGAAAATAAATAAAATACGAGCTTGTTATTTATCAAGACCGGTGTATTGCTACTCGCTATGTAAGCACCCATTGGATCCTCCGGCTTTCCTTTACACAGCCTGTGGGGAACTGGCCGGATAATAGGTACTCTGAGAAGTACATATATCACCAGGCCAGAGACAATCAAAACACTTACAAGTAGAAGCGGACGAATATATCGATGCCATCGGTGATCAACGGTCATCGAAGTCCAGCTTTGAATGCCTTAGTAAACATGAACCTCATGAAGAACACCCGTTCGGCTGGCCCTCTAATTCAGCCACAGAGAAGCTGTACAAGCTTTCTCCGGCTGATATCAAAAGCTTAGGAGGGTCGTGGACTCGCTTGTGTATGGCCGCATTCGCAGGAACCGAAGTAAGTTAAAGTCCACCGCCGCCATCCATGTATCATGCAACTACACACCTATGAAACCAATTTGCTGCACATATTCCCCCGGATTTAAAGTCATGATGACTGGGATCGCAGTGTCTGCAGTGCTTAATGCTGTTATGGGTATTGTTAAGCGTAATCATATGATAAATGTATTCCTCACGCGTACAGCTGAGCTATTTATAACTCCTATCTTTCAAGATTAGCGCCCGTAAATCAGTGGACTTCAAGTCCTATTTTGGTAGTAAGCTTGACCTTAAATTATGTGCTCTGAGTGTGATTGATGTATGTATATTTGCCGTACCGAAATTCAAGGCTCTGAGTAGGTATTTTTGCCATCTATTAAGATGGGTTAGTCCTGACATTCAATTGACGAGCCGTTAGATGATGCACGGTAGTAACGTAGGCGCGTTAAGGTGTCAGATATGCACTGCAAGATAAAGAAAAGATATGAAAGTAGCCAGTAAGAAGTGGCACGAGGGCGAAGCGTGGGTTGGCGATTCCAGCTGTACTGTCGACATATTCATGTCGCACGCGGCGGCCGCGCGCAGCATAGAGAAGATCGATAACAAGGTTTCAAAGTGCTTTATCGAGTAAGTTGAATGTCGTTGAGAGGAGTGTTTACAGCAAGGTTACATATACGTGGATCACTTGGAAAGGGTTCGAGACTTCGAAAATTGCCCTGCTAATATTAATTTGATTGTGATCGAGCATGCGAGGATCGTCGAGCGATAGAGATAAGGGAAAACGTACTACAAGTTGATGTCGAGCAACTTCAGTGCTCTGCTGACTGGTGAGGTTTATATAATGAGATCTTTTCTTCAAATCTTTGCTTAAAATTTATTGCAATAGCAGCAAACGTGAGGGTTAGTGTGTAGTCATGTTCTAGGCATGTGTTCTTGGTAAGATTATTATAAACAAAAAACCCTGTCATCGGTAATCTTGACCTTGGCGTCATTCGCTTTAAACACCGGCAGCTCTGTAACAAGAAAAGCTTAAGTAACGTACCAATATCAATTGTGGTGAGTGAATACCTCGCAGGAAAGTGTAGGGAGTTACGAGCCTCCAAGGTTACAGGGTTGTTTCCGCGGTATCGTCGATGTCATCACGACTGACTTCCAAGTTTGAGTCTTCAGGGCGACATCTTGGTCTAGCTTGGACCCAAGAACCGCAAATACATAGTAGTGACCAAGAGAGCTATCTTTGTGCTGTACTGCTGAATCGCACTGTGTAGAGATAGAAGAACTTCCAAGCCATGTGCTAGTCTATCATTGGACTCTGCATAAGAGAACTAGCGACATGAATATTTGGGCTATTTGGACCGCAATGCACAGCCTTGTTGACGTCTGGTGTTATATTTCCATGCCGTCTGAGCAGGACCGAGCGTATTCGGAACATGGATGGTTCATTCAAGGAAAAGGTGGTGGGAGTATGTGTACGGATTCGTACCGGTAACTCCACAGTGCCTGCGTACCTGTTTTTGGTGATTCTCACATATGTTATATGTTATTTTAAGTGGATAAGGAATCAACATATCATACCGATCGCAGACTCCTTCCCAGTCCAGGGGGTCGCGCGTTATCTTATCTTATCGTGCTTATGTAAACTACACTTTTGTTACGCCCCCCTTGGACTGGCAAC